AAAAAAAAAAAAAAGAAAAATACCAGTGATATAGTAGTAGAAACATATGGCTAAGACATGGATTAAACTTTTAGCTCTACTAAAACAAAACAAAACAAAACCAAAAAACCGGGGCTCAGAGACAGGGGGGAATTTGCCCCAGGTCATTCATGAGAAATCAACACTGGAGCTTGGTCCTCTGGTCCCTGTGAATGTGGCCTTTTCCTTGGGACAGCAGGAGTGTCCTTATCACTGGGATGATATTAGCATAATGCTGGAACTCATTCTGCTGCAAGTGACAGAAACTAAGCTCAAACCAGCTTAAGCAAGAAAAGGAAATGTATCAGTTCATGGATTCGGGCAGGATAGGTTGGGTTACACTGCAGTAACAAACAGCCCTCATCACAGCAGCTGAGAACAAAGTGTGCATTTTCTGCTGACAATACGCACCCATCACAGCTGAACCGGGAACTTCAGCCTATATTTACTTACTTGAGGGCCCAGGCTGAGAGTAACATTCTTAACTATCACTGGTCACTGTGGCAAGGAGGAAGCATCATGACTGTCAGAAAATGCTCTGTCCAGAAGCAAGCCTTGCCACTCCTGCTCACAACTCATCAGTCAGTCTATCACGTGGCCATGCTGGACCACAGGGGCCAGGAGGTACAGTCCTGCTTTGTGCCCAGAAGCCAAAAGCTGAAACTATTTAGTGGATGGTGTAATGACTTCCATACTCATGGAAGTCCAAGGGAATGGATGTAGTTTCAGGCATGATTGGATCCAGGAACCTAAGCAACACACTGGGAATGTGCCTCCATCTTCTCATCTCTGCTTTCTCATGTGTTGGCTTCATCTCGGGCAAACTGTCCCTTCCTGTGCCCTCTCTACAGCTTGGCAAGTCCAGCAGAAAGAGAGCATAGACCGGGTAGGGTCACATGTCTGTCCCTGAACTGTACTGTTGCTGGGGGATGGAATGCCCTATTGGCCAGGCCTGGGTCATGAAGCTACTTTCAGAGCTGGGGTCAGCCACTGCCACAGCTATTACCTGGGAAAAAGCAATAGGTACTCACAGGTGTTTGCTGTTTCTTACCCTTTTGATCTAGCTCTCTTCCAGCGGAGCAAGATGAGGAAGAGTTGAAATTGGCACCTGGAGAGCAGTGTAGGTTCTGATTCTGACCACTAATTCAGTGTGTGGCCTCAGGCAGGTCACTATTTGTCCCACCTGTTAGATGGATCACCCTGCCCCTCTGAGCCTGCAGGTGGCAGGAGTGGGCTGTGGCCTCCATGGTGGGGGTTGCTATCAATCCTCCTTTTTCTTAAGAGGTCATTGCATGGACTCTGGGGGACAAGGAGCTGCCTTGCCCTTTGCTCCTTGGTCACACTTCCAGGCCTTTGCCCAAACTCTTCTTTCTGCCTGGAATAGCTGGTGCCCTTAACAACTGCCATTCATTTTTCAAAGTCCAACAAACACCACCTCCTCCCTGAAGTCCCCTGTGATGACCCTTCTGGGCTCCTAACAGTAGTGTGCTGGGGCTGGCTCATAGGGACCAGCCAGGAGACCTGCCAAATGCATCTCTTCCCAACTCTGTTTAGAGTCCAGTTGGGAACTTGAAATTGGCCACAATGGAAGTATTTACCCCATGGAAATAAGCAAATGCTACAAATCAGGCTTTATTGAGTGTCCTCTGTGTGCCAGGCTGGGGACAAAGCAGAGAACAAAGCAGACAAAGCTGCTGACCTTGCAGAGCTCATGCTCCCATGTCCATCTTTGCTCCGGCATCTGTTCGTCTTGGTCTACCCGTCCAACCCTTTTTCCTTCAAGCTTTTTACAACCCTTCTCTGGGTCCTCTTGTCTATCCATCCTGTGTCTCTCCAGGTGGGCCAGCTCTTGTCTCCATCTGTTTGCACCTGTTGTGTCCCCCTTCAAAGGTGGTATTTTGAGGAGCCTTTTCTGCCCCCAGCCCAGCCTCAATCAGTCCCAGTTGTCCCCTCCCCCACAACTCTGCATGCAGAAGAGCTGAGCTGACCAGCACCTGGAACCTGCTGCCCCCAAGAGGGTGTGAAAACCACAGCACACCTTGGCCCAAGAGTCTCCGGGGTGCTGGGGGAGGATGGTGAGAGTTGCTCACCCGTGCAGGAGCTGCGGTTTCATTCTCATGCTCCTGTCTTACATACCCTATGCCAAGTTCATTGTTCCACTATTGAAGTCATCAGTGTTCTAGAACTTTCCTCGTGCCAGGCACCCCCAAGGACTCTCAAACATTCAGCCATCTCTCTGGACCACCCCATTTTATAGATGAGTCATGGAGAAGCTCACAGCAGGGCTGACTTCTCACCCAGCTCTGCTCCCAGAGCAGGCTGTCTCCTTCAGGCGCCGCCATTCAGCCTGGCCCCCGAAGAAGACGATGGGGCCCATATGGGCCTCGGTCTGGGGTGGGAGCATCCCTGCTTAGAGCTTCTGAGCTGAATCAGACTCTCTGCTGCTTTAACTCTGCTTGGTCTAGAAAAAGCCAAGCCACCTCTGAGAAAGGCAATCTTGGAGGGAAAACCATTCTCCCTGCCCATTTGTCCAGGCTGCCACAAGTGCCCCAGGGGAGGGTCAGTGGGCCTTGTGCCACCCTGAAAGTACTTTGTGCTCAATAAATAAATAGCTTTTGGGTGCATGGAGGGGATTTTTTTTTTAAATGTACATCAGAAGTCAGTGGTGGGGGCTGTTTTTAAGACACAAGACTAATTGATTTTAAGTCTGGAAACTCCCCCCCACCCCCGAGTGTCCCCCTGCAGGGTGGGACAGCCCCACAGGTGACCTGGCTGTCACTCTTAGCTGGTTTTCTCACCCCCGCCTGCCTCCTGCCCAAGCCTTGCTCCTGGCCGCAGGAGGAAGGAAGCTGATGTTTATTGAGGGTCTGCTCTGGGCTGCATAATATTTGTGGGTGACTTGCTCGTTTCTCCAAGGCAGGCCGTGCCATCCCCCTTGTCCAGACAAGGAAACTCTGGCTCAGAGAGGGTAGGTGACTTATTCCAGGAAGCACAGCCAGGAGGCATCAGAGTTGAGATTCAGACCTACATCCTTTAGGCCACCAATTCCTCCCACCCCCAGGGTCACTGTGGGCACACTCTTCCCCTCCCCCTTGCTACTGAGACATGATAAGGAACAATATGGACTTTCTGTTGCCCTGGGAGGACCTGGTGTCTGTCACAGGCTATCTCTGGTCCCAAGAGGCCTGGGCACGACCCTGGAAGGATGGGAGTCTGTCATCTGTGTGCCACGGGCACACTTGCCACACACATTCACGTGCAGGGAGTGAGCGCCACAGGCTCAGATACACGTGTGCAGGTGAACACATGGCACACCCCAGGTGTGCACTGGTGTCCATGGGCACATGCAGTGTGCACACGACATGCCAGTATTCCCTGAGCCACATGCATGCACACACACATGAACGCATACACACACACACACACACACACACACACATGCTGTAAACATCAAGCTTAGATGCCCGTCAGGCAGACGGAAGGTTGCAAGTTTCTTCACACCACAGCCCAGGTGACCATGTCTCTGACTTGGGGTCCAGTAGCCTGGTCAGCCCTAGATAGCCAGCCAACCTCATTAGCTGGCCTGGGGCCCAGGTCCTGAAGGTGGGGGGGTCATGACCACCCACTGGCGGAGGTAGCTTCTGGGGGGCCCTTCGTCCCTGGGGCTGGCAAAGTCACACTCCACAGGGCTTCCGCAGTCAGAGCCCGCAAAGCCACTGTCAAATGTGTCCATGTCCAGGCCAGCGGGGGGCGAGCTCGCCTCACTCTCTGAGACCTCTCCGGGCGGCCTGCCATCCCAGGGCGGCCCCACAGCCCAACCCTCTTCATCTGTATGGGGCAGCTTTAATCTGTCCAGGAAGCTGCCCAGGGGCCCTCCCAGGCCAGGGCCACCAGCCGAGACACAGCCACAGGAAAGGACTGTGGTCCCTGTGCCCAAAAGAGGGTCTTGTAGGCTGGGGCCAGGATCCAGTCCAGTGTCCAGGTCCAGAGCTGGGTAGCCGTCATCCCCACAGCTGCAGGGCCATGTGCACAGCCCCTCTGTGTCTGCCACAGTCACTGTGTCAATGGACACCAGGCCATACGGCCGGTCCCTCTCCTCGCTACAGGCTGAGCCACCTGAGCTGCGGCCCATGGCAGGCACTGGGCCCCAGCAGCTGGGCTCAAGCACGCCGTCAGATTCCACCAGGTCTGCTGGTTCTGTCAGCTCGGCAAGCTCCGGCCCCTTCACTAGACTCTGTGGTGGATGGCAGTTATACACCTCCAGGGTCGAGGGTGTCCCTGAGCTCCAGAGCCCCAGCTCCAGGCTGGAGGCAGTGACAGGTGAGCCCACCCATTTCTGTGAGAAAGCAAAAGAAAGAGAATCCTGGGTCAGGACAGGGGTGAGGTGAGAGTATAGAGACAGACACAGAGACAAGACAAAGGGACAGTAATAAGGAAGGACAGAGAAACCGAGACAAAGACACGGGGACAGAGAGAGAGAATAGAACCACAATGTGCCCTGCCCAGTGGGAGTCCCTGCCTCTGTCCTCTCCCCACTCTGGGCCTCAGTTTTCCTACCTGTAACAAGGAATTGCTGCTGTCTCAGTAGCCTGCCCGCTGAGACAACCATGGTCCCATGGCCTGGGCAAGGGCCAAGATTCCCAAGTCTAGCAGGGCCTGAAGTCTGAGTGACAAAGCCCCCATCCTACCCCATCCTCTGCCCTACTTCCTCCTTGACATTTCTGGAAACCTAGCATCCCTCTGTTTATGCGTCCCACCAGACCAGACACTCAGCCGAGACAGAAGCCTCCATCTCTTTAGTCCACGGCTATATCCCCAGTGCTTGGCGCACAGCGCGTGCTCAATAAATGAATGAGTGGAGTAGAACAATGAGATGTCATTTGGAAAAGGCTGTGCATTTTGCAGATAAAGGATGAGGGTGGTGCTGGCTGAGGCAGTGGCCCTTGAGCTCTGAGGAACCCCCTTTCCTCCTTTACCAGGAGTCCCACTCGTGATGCAAAAATTCCTATTTGATTGGTAAAGAAAATCTCTGAGAATGGGAATCTCTCAGTTTTGACCTGATCTTCCTCAGAAAATTCATCTCAGAACTATGATGTAAAGTCACACTGATTTAAAGTCAGTTCTAATTTGTATGCCCTTGAGCCAGTTAATTACCTTCTCTGGGCCTCAGTTTCCTCATCTGTAAAATAGACCTACTAGTAGTACTCACCCACAGGGTTGTCACGTGGGTTATATGCATTAATGTTTCTAAAGCTCCTAGCAGAGATCCTGGTACATAGCAAGTGTCATATGAGCACTGGCAAAAATCTCAAAATAAATTTGACACTTGAGCTTTAGGGAAGAGGAAAGGGTAAGTCTCATGTGGGTTGGAGCCCAGGTTCCTTCCCTGCCCCACTCAAGTAGCCTTGCCTGGGTCTCCTCATGAGTAGTACCCTGGGGATGGCGGAGGATGAAAGGAGGGAGGGTGCCTAGCCCTGTTCCAGGTCCTTGTTGCCTGACTTGCAGGCTGGGCTGCTGCAGGTGGGGCTGCCCTTCCCCCTACCCACATCCTCTCTGCGGTGGCCCCTCCCACTCCTGCAGGAGGAGCTCTAGACTGGCACAGACAGCCCCACCGCAGGGGAGGTGGCAGCCTGTCTGGGTTGGAGAGTTGTGCAGGCAGGGCCAGACCCTTGGTAGAATCCTCTCCACCCCAGAGCAAGGGCACCTAAAAAAGGACCTGGAGGCCAATTTGTGACTCAAGGGACCACTAGGCTGACCCCTAGTTTGGCTCCTTGGGCTGGGCTATGCTGCCTGATCTTGTTCAAGTCCTTTTATTTATTTTTTTTTTTAGGACAGAATCTCTGTCACTTGGGCCATAGTATAGGGGCATCATCATAGCTCACAGAAACTTCAAACTCCTGGGCTCAAGCAATCCTCCTGCTTCAGCCTCCTGAGCAGCTGGAATTATAGGCAACCACCCCCTTGCCTGACTGATTTTACTATTTTTAGTAGATATGAGGTCTCACTCTTGCTCAGGTTGGGCTCGAACTTCTGAGCTCAAGCGATCCTCCCTGCTCCATCTCCCAGAGTGCTAGGATCATGTGTCAGCCTGATCTTATTTAATTCTTATGCCAATTTTGCACCACTGGAGTTATTGCCTGCACTTTGCAGATGGGGAAACTGAAGCTTGGCTTGAGAACTGGCTGGGACCTTGTGCTGGGCCCTGCAGGGTGAGCTGGGGCTGTGGTAGGGCTCCTGAAGATAAGGGGCTCAGAGGGGTTTTTGTCACACTTACCTTGAAGTTTCCTCTGTGGATCTCATCCAGGTCCTTGAAGAACTTCTCTGGGCTGGGCACCAGCCATACCTTCTCCCACAGCCTGAGCAGGCAGAGATGGGATGAGGCCCTGGGATGACAACACCCCAGGGCACCCTGGCCTCCCACTCCGCCTCCCCAGCTCAGCACCTCCCTTCCCTCCCAGCGCTCAGTTTCTACCTTTGTAAAGGGGGAGCGGTGAGTTTCCCTCAGATTCCTGAAGACCCATTGAGGTTGAGGGCTGGGCTGCCTGTTGTGAGCTGAGCCAGCACTATACCACCTCTGAGCCTCAGCATCCTTGTGTACAGCCAGGAACAATGTGTGCTTGTCACACAAGTCCCCCTACCCCACCAGTTGGCTTCTGTGTCCCTTGAGTCTCTTAGCTTCTAATTCACTGCACAAGATCACAGCTGAAGGCCCTATTTCAACCCCACCTCCTCTACTCCAGGGCTGTGTGACCTTGGGCAAATTGTTGACTGCTCTGTGCCTCTCTTTCTCCATTTGTAAAATAGGGGTAACTGTAGTGTATCACAGGCACAGGGGTGCTGGGGGTGACATGAATGCCCAGCAGACAATAACCTCAGTGAGTTGATTATTATCGTCATCACTGTCATTAATACCATGACAACAGGTGTGTCCCTCCACCTGAGGTAGGTCACAGAGGGGCTCTGGCCCAGGCTGACCACTTCCCTGCCTCCCAGTGCCCTGGCCTCACCTCCAGGACGGGTGGGTCTTCAGGCTCCAGATGATAAGGCTGCAGACCACGACAAGTAGCAGGAGGAGTAGCAGGTGAGGGTCCCAGACCTCCTTTATGTCTGCACAGGAAGCATATAAAGGGTTAAATGGCACTAAATCTATGAGAAGCCACATGGAGCAGGTGTGGTGAGAAATGGGTCTGGGGTGGAGGAGAAGGGGTGGGAAGCCAGACAGAGCCTTGAAGTGGTGATAGATCTGGGTGTAAATCCTGCTCTTGAACCCCACCCCTAGCAAGTAATGTCATCTCTCGGAGCCTCAGTTTCCTTATCTACCAAATGGGCAGAATGATTCCCACTTCAGAATTAGGAGGATCAAATGCCTGGTAGAAGCAGCAGCTGGCACCCAACACAGGGCCTGGCTAGTAGGGGCTCCAGAAATGTCAGATGGCTACATCTGGAAGTGAACAACTGAACGGACACCTCCCAGCCATGCTGGGACAGCTCAGGGCACAGGGTGACTGGACAAAGACAAGATTTGGTACCAGGAGTGGGGCGTCTACATCAGTCACACCTACCCTCCCTAGGGGTCTGAAAGATGACTGGGTCACTCCACTCGCTCCAGGTCCCTTGGTAGGAGGAGCCAGGCTGGGGCCCTGCCCGCACCTGCAGCTCGTAGCTTGAGTCTTTCTGGAATTCCAAGGGGAGCAGGGAGACGCTTCTTGAGTCCACTGAGATCTGCTTTCTCTTTGGGCTCTGTCAGGACAGGGAAAAGGTACATAGGGTCAGGTTCAACCAGGCCACCCCTGCCTCAGGCAGAACCATCCCCTTTTAGGCCCCATCAAGGCTCAGACTCTTCCTTTCCCCTAAGAATCAGGCCATGCCTGAGCCCTGGCTGCTCCAGCATGGGCAGCACAGACTTAGCACTGCCTCGGCCTTACCTGTAGTACAACCCTTTGTTCTATTTCTCTTTGATCCCAGCTTACCCACTCACTGTCCTGGCAGTGGAGCCTCCCTGCTGAGACTGGGGATGTCCCAGGAGAAGTAGCGGTCTGGGAGCATCCCAGACAGAGGACGCTTTTTTTTTGAGACAGTCTCATTATGTCACTTTGTCACCCTCTGTAGAGTGCTGTGGTGTCACAGCTCATAGCAACCTTAAACTCTTGGGCTTAAGCAATTCTCTTGCCTCAACCTCCCAAGTAGCTGGGACTATAGGTGCCCACCACAATGCCCAAGTATGGTTTTGTTGTAGTTATCATTGTTTAGCAGGCCCATGCTGGGTTTGAACCCTCCATCCCTGGTGTATGTGGCTGGCGCCCTTAACCACTGAGCTATGGGCGCCAAGCTAGAGGACGCTTTTAGAATCTCAGCTAACACATTGACATTCTCAACAGTGGCCATTTCTTGAAGTCTTCAACTATAGACATCTTAGCAGTGGCTACTTCTGGAAGTCTTCACCTGGGGACATTCTAAACTATGGAATTTATGAAAATCATCAACTGGGAGCATTCTAAAGGACAGATAATTCTAGAACTCTTCAGCTATGACTGCTCTTAGTAGTGTGCTGGAAGGACAACTCTTAATGTCTTCACGTGAAACAATGGGCACTCTAACGCTGGACCAGAATTCTTATCATTCCTATTTCTGGAACTCTCCAACCATGGCCAGTCTGAGCAAGTCTGAAGGTTACAGACTGCCTCATTTCTGAAACTTCCTCTATTGTGGTTGTTCTAGCCTTGAGAAGGAAGCTGAGGAAGTGACAGTCCCTTCCTCCAGGGCTAGAGAGAGATGGATAAGGGGTCTCCTACCTCAGGGAGAGGTTGGGGACAGGGCAGGGGAGCCATTGTGGGGAGTGCTCACATCCTCGGTGTACCCTGGTTCCTAGTCTTGGCTATGAACCACAAGGCTCATCTGTCTGTCAGAGCCCCCCACCCTCCAGCCACCTGGAAGCCCTTGCAGTCCCAATGCCCTTGTAGTTTCCATGCCCAAAGCTGGGCAGACCCTCTCCTTCCTCACCAGGGCCGAGGGGTCCCCACGGTTCCTATACTGCAGCTCATACTGAAGCTTGCCCTTCAGTGCGTAGAAATCAGGTTCTTCATAATCGGAACACCAAGAAACGTTATAATGTCCCATGAAGGTCACAGTCACGTTGAAAGGGGGAGCCGGCTTGACTAGGTGGGAAAAAAACAGAAAGATAAAACAGGAGGTGAGGTCGCCTCAGGTGAGAAGGATGTGGTGGTGGGAAGAAGTACCTCCCCCACGCCACGCCTGACCCATCATTTATGGGATTAGCAACTCTGAATAAACTGAGGTTCCTCAGTTTATGCAATGAAAAGTGGGAGGTTTAGATTGGATCAGGGCTACAGACTCAGGGGCAGGAATAACAGACATGGGAGAAGCAGGTTGGGGGACTTTGGAAAAATGAAGAGTGCTCCTGGGCTAAGAGCGATGGTCAGGACGCAGGCTGGGCAGAAACGCAGACCAGGTGGCCAGATCTTCTAAGTCTTCTAGGGACACACGCACACACACACACACACACACACGAAATCCACATTACTGTGTGAAATCTCTCAAGTTTAAGGTTAGCTATTAATCCAAAAACTTTCTAGGCAACGTGTTAGCCAGATGCATGCCTTCAATTTCTGTTCTAAATGATGGCATATCATTTTCTTTCAATCCCAGCTGCCCTGGGACGTTCATAGACTCTACTTAATGAGTGAAGTAGAGTTATGAATGAATGAATGAACGATGAAGGCTGCCCTTTCCTTAGCCTGCACAGCAGCCCTGACACCCGCGGTGGCCCCATGAGTTCGATTGAACTGTCCTTATCTTTGCGACACCTTCCAGCAGGTGCAGGGGCCCAGCTCTGGGTGCCCCCCTCAGGAAAAAGTTAAGATCAGCACTCCAATTTTGCTTTATCCCCAATTTGTCTTACGAACTTGAGCACGACCTCATGTACCTTAGTTTCCTTTCTGTAAAGTGGTACCAGTTCCTGTGTCTTGAGGCTTTAAATTTACAGGAACCAAGCTACACAGCAGAAGGTGGCAATATGGGGGAACCACATGACAAGTGCTCTGTTAGCATAAGAAAGGAGAGGTGGCCTCTGCCCCCCAACCATCTCCTCCACTTTCTATTTGCCACTGTCTCACATTCTACACTCTTCCCTGTCCCGTCCTGTGGGACACGGTTATTCGTGGGGCGAGGGGGACCCAGCCTGTAAAGAATAATGGGCGAGAAAGAGAAACGAGACCAAGCAGATTCCTTGTCAAGGTCTGTTTTAATGGAGGTAATAGGTCAGTTTTTTTAGCACTCAGAGAAGACAAGAGGTGGGGTAGAGGAATGCGGGAGTTAAGGTTGAGCTGAAGCTTGCATCAATCTCCTGCTGGGAATGTAAACGATGTGTCTGAAACATTTTATGGCTTCTCTGGGAAGAACAGCTCCTTGTCTGATAAGGGAAAAGCAGCTCCTTATCTGATAAAGGTTAGCATACTCCCGAGGGTGGGGATGGGCGGCCATCTGGCGTCATTTGGCTCCTGACACTTCCCTCCGTGACCTAGGACAGTGCCTGGTACACAGTAGGCCCTCCATAAATATTTCTCAAATTAACAAAAAGGAGCTCTGAAGCCGCTGATGGTTCTGAAACTTGCCCTGAGGCCCTCTCTGTGGCTCCGGGCAGGAGAAGGGATGTGTTCTCTGGAATGCCATGGCGAATGCTTGATTGTTGTTACTCCTACTTTAGTGATGGGACCTTTTGACCAAAGTATAGAGAGTGCCAAAAAAAATGTATCCACAATTTAAGCAAAGCTAAAACTGTCTTAAATGTGTAATACACATTTGACTTCTGCAATTACAGGAGATGCTCAATGTGACTTGTGTTCATTTTTGTTATCAGTATATATTGCGTATCACAATTTTAATATGGAGTTTTCCTTTCTTAAAATGTGTATACAGTTTCTCAGGACCCTCTGTAGTTCCTAACCCCTCTTTTCTCTTCCCCAGGGCAGGGGAGGCCTGTTTCAGGGCTTGCCTGCATGGCTTGGGCTTGGGCTTGGCAATGAGGAACCATACAGGGATGACCAGGTGACTAAGAACACCCCCCGCCCCAAAACATACACACACTCAGGGGATGTTTGCAGATCTTAGGGGGCAAGGGAGAGGTTGCTCAGCTCAGAGAGAACCAGGGCCCAGGAGGAGGACAGGGTCTGGGCTAGGGTGGGAGTGAGAGACAGAAAGTTACTTCCTGCCTCAGCTGGCTGGGCTGGCCTTAGACCCTGGCAGGGAGGAAGGAAGGGGGCCACAGAGAAATGCTGCTTGGAGCCACCCTGCAAGGGGAATGGCAGCTGAGAGGCTCCTCCTCTGCCCTGCTCACGTTCTGGACCCTCAGATATTAGTTCCACCACAGCCAGGACCTCCTGCTTATGGACGCCCCCCTACTTCCTGCCTGGAGAAAATCCCATGCTTCCCTGGAGCTAATGAAGGGAAGAAACTCAGGAGGTTTGTTCTTGTCCTAAGGACACTCAGTGTCCTTAGCTTGCCTCCTCATGGGGACAGAATCTCAGAGGGTTAGGGTTAAAAGGGTGGCAATTACAGTACAAATGGGAAAGCAGTCTAAGAGGTAGGATGCCTTGTCCAAGGTCACACAGACAGGCAAGGGCTGAGCCAGAACAGGAACCTGGAAGTCCTGGGTCCCAGGCCAGCTCTTTTCCATACCTCTGCTGCCTCTCTTTGGGGTGAGGCCCAAACCTAATATCAGCCCATTACATTTTAGTAAGAAGTAGTACATCTATAAGTAGAACTCTAAGGGGTGGTAGAGGATACAGGACTGGTCAGGGGGCCAAGAGGGCAGGGGCCCACCCTCCATCTGGTCTTTCCTCAGCCTGGGACCCAAAAGCTACTCACTGATGTTAGCCAGGATAAAGCGGCCACACTCCTGGGAGTGGTTGCCAGACTGGTCTGTCATGCTGACGCTGAAAATGTCGTCGGCCATAAAGTAGAACACATCCATGTGGCACGTGTACTTAGCATGTGTGGTGTTATGGGCGGACCTGTGTAGGCTGCAGGAGGTGTCCTCATCTTCCAGTTCGTTATGCTGGTCTTCCCTTTAAGGACAGAGCAGTCAGTCATGGCTGGAGGCCAGGGGGCCTCAGTGCTTAGGGCTGGAGCAGAAGCCCAGACTCTCAGGGGTGGGAGGGTATTTGAGGTGGGGCTGAGGATCACCTGGTGCAAGCAACCCCTTCCTGGGGAAGGTGTCCCCTCCCCTGCACCTTTCCTGGTGGGTCAGGTCAAGGCTCTGTTTATATACCTCCAAGGGACAAGGAACCCAGTGCTTCATTTAGGGCAGCAGCTCTCAACTTTAGAAATACGGGCCATTCTTGCTTGGACCAATCCTGAATCTGTTCCTGTCAGTTCCAACAACTGGATCACTGGATGGCGGCTAAGCACTGTGGACCTCCTTCCCTCCTTCTGGCCAATATCCACTGAACCCCTCATTAGAGCACTTGCTGAGGACTGAGAGCCACATGAACCTCATCCCTGCTCTGGGTGAACTTCCAGGGGTGCTGGGGTGGGGGTGTTTGGGGTTTGGGGAAATGCTCTGCCTTTCTAACTTCCACTGGACAAAAATGACAGGTTTTGAAATTTGTATAGGAGTTCACCAGGTATTTATTTCCCTACGTACATGTTCAGGTTCTGAATATGACTACCCTCCAGGGCCCATGGAAATATGTGGACTGAGTTCTCTGCTAAATTTGCTGCAACAGGAGCTTCTGTGGAAGTTTCTTTAGAACTTCAGAAGTAACTGCTGGAGAACAAACACTCTCCAAGTCTCCAGTCTGGGTTTACCAGAGGTGCCCCTGCCTTACTTGCCCTCCCGGAAATCTATCCCCAGCCAGGGGATCTTTTAAAAAGTCCTTGTTGCTGGGCACAACAGCTCACACCTGTAATCCTAGCACTCTGGGAAGCTGAGGCAGGTGGATTGCCTGAGCTCACAGGTTTGAGACCAGCCTGAGCAAGAGTAAGACCCCGTCACTAAAAATAGCCAGGTGATGTGGTGGGTGCCTGTAGTCTTAGCTGAAGCAAGAAGATCATTTAATCCCAAGAATTTGAAGTTGCTGTGAGCTATGATGCCACAGTACTCTACTGAGGGCAACTAAGTAAGACTGTCTCAAAAAATAATAATAATAAATAATAATAATAATAAATAAGGCAGCGCCTGTGGCTTAGTGAGTAGGATGCCGGCCCCATATACTGTGGGTGGCAGGTTTGAACCCAGCCCCGGCCAAACTGCAACAAAAAAATAGCTAGGCATTGTGACGGGTGCCTGTGGTCCCAGCTACTCGGGAGGCTGAGGCAAGAGAATCGCCTAAGCCCAAGAGCTGGAGGTTGCTGTGAGCTGTGATGCCATAGCACTCTATGGAGAGTGACAAAGTGAGATTCTGTCTCTAAAAATAAATAAAGTCCCTGTCATCCCTGGCCTAAAACCTTCCAGCAGCTTCTCTCCACCTGTATGATGGCATCTGGCCTTCTCTGCTTATTATCTTCCCTCACCCTGGCTCACCATGCTCCAGCCACACCCACCCCCTCCCTAGTCTTCAAACTCACCAGCGATCCCCTTGCTCCCCTCACTCCCCTCTCTCCAGGCCTTTGCACTTGCAGTGCCCTCTGCCTGGAAAGCCCTCCCTTCTCATCCAGAGGGACCACCTATGGTGAAACAGACCCCCTGCCCATGTCACTTGCAGTTTGCCTGAAGTCTAGTGTCCCTTTCTGTACAGCACTCATTATCCTTAAGTACCCTGCATGTCATTTTGTGTTTACCGCCTATCTCCCCTGGACACTGCCTGACTGTGGTATATCAGCTCCAAGATGTCTGGGGCTTTGTCAGCCTTGAGCCTGCAGAATCCCCAGTGCCTGCAACAGTGCCTGACAGGAACTGAAATGTGTTTTGAATGAATGACAAGCTGATGGACAACAGAACGAATGGGAGCTCTTCCTCATCCTGAGCTGTGTGTGGACTAATAGGGAGCTGTGTGTGCACAACCTCTCTGAACCTCAGTGTTCTCATCTGTAAAATGGGAGTAATAACTGTGATCATTCACACGAAGCCCACAACAGGAGGCCTGACACCTGCTAAGTGCTTAAAAAATCACACAGGAGATTGGCTGTCCTCAGGTCTCAAAGCCACAGTCAGGACTATTTGGGCAAGGGGTAACCTTTGAAGCAGGACAGAGCAGCCTTGCGGTCACCTTACTATGCACTCAGACAAGTCCTGTGATCTCCAAGTGGTCATCTGTAAGGAAGGCACATTGGTCCCTGTCTCACCGAGTCTTCTTCGGGCCAGAATGGTTGAGCGAGCTCCCAGGAAGAGGCAGCTACTCCTGTTGTTGCTAAACTACTGGCCAGGTACATGGTACATCCAACTCAGTCCTGCCCACCCCAGCCCTCTGAGTACCCTGAGTTGTATTCCCAGGCTTGGCAAGGCCCAGCCACTTACTTACCAGACAAGAGTGAGCATGCTGGGGTGGAGGGTCCACATCTCTAGGACACAGGTGATTGTTTGAAGGTAATCAGTGTAGCAGATGAGGTCTGTGCAGCCCCAGCCTGAAGGGTCAGGGGAGAGAGAAGCCTTGGTGGGGGGTGGCCGGGGACTGCAGGGCTCACCCCTCACCCCATTGAAGGCTGGATGGTGAGTGGAGGGCAGGGGTACCAGACCCAGGATGAACTTGGTGACCCAGGGCACATTAAAATGTAGGTCTGGGGCCTGGGATCTTTGCCAACTGGGAAGTCCTTCTTTGTGCCCCAAAGTTTCAAGGCTGGCTGTGGAGACAAGATGCCCGTAATGTGGAATATAGTGAGCTGAGCTGGTCTCTACCTCAGTACCCTCCCTCCAAGTCCCATGTCTGGCCATTGGGTCAGTGTCGCTCCTGGCCAGGCTCCCACTCAGAATGGTATATTCCGAGCACCCCAGATGTAGGGTCGACTGAGCTAGCACAAATCCACACAGCTTCAGAAGGCCAGAACCTCACGGAATCAGTGATGGTGAGAGCACTTCACACCTGTAAAGTGACAGGAGGAGCCCGCAGCTCTACAGCCATTGGTCCCACAGGACAGAGCTCGTCAGAGATGCAGGAAATGCTTCCAGGGGTAGGAAAACTTGAGAAAACTGAGAAGCCCAGCAATACTTCTACAAAAATGTCTGTATTACCCTGTGGCCATAATGACACCCTCCCCACCCCACCCCCACACACATGCCTGAAGTGATAAATGTCTTGCTCTATCAGGCAATTTTATTGGAAGATATAATATCTCCCCACCTGCCACACATTAATTGTTTCACTCTGTTCTAAAATATACGTACACTCATAATCTAAATTTTGTTAAATATTTGACAAAATAAACTTTATAATTTGTAGTTTTGTTTTGTAAAATCAATTACCAATGTGACTATTTTCCCCTCACTATTTACTAAAAACCTTGTTCCTCTTTTTGAGTGGATTCATTTTCAGCGGCTTTTCTTGTTTTTCTTTGACTAATGAATACCCGTGAGGTGGTGGCACGTTCCCTCCCAGGTCTCCCTCTAGGTCAGAAGGTAAGCTCCTTCAGAGCTAAGGACAGTGGTGCTGGAAACATCCTTTAGCCCACTCCCATGCCACCGTGGAGGTGAGAATGAGGAGGGTCCAAGACAAGACCAAGTTTATTTTGTCTGTCTTGTTCCGGACCACTGAGACTCCTGGTCCATTTTCTCAGGCATACACGTGGCAGACATTGCTAGTCGATCACAGCATCCTCCCCGCCCCCTCTTGCAGCCTCAGGATCCTTCTCAGCAGGATTCTCCAGGCAGCCACCACCAAGGGGCCTGAGTCATGAAAAAGAATTTTGCTCTAGAAGGGGGCTTTCCTCAAGGAGTTACACAGAGCCTGTCAGTGGGACACAGAGGGGCAGGTTCAGGCACTTTGTGGAGAATGAGGACTGATTTTGGCAGAATCTAAACCCAGGGCTGCAGAATCCTCTGCATAGCTGTGGCTTCTCTGAGGGATCTGGGAATGTGGGGGCTCAAAAGTTTGTCCTCAAACTTGGGATGAAACACTGGGGAGAGAACAGCAGCCCCTGATATGGCATCAGGGACCAGAGGGAGTGAAAAAGCAGTCAGTATCCTGGCCATCTCACCCCTGGGCAATTAAAAGCGTGCAGGAAGCAGTGAGACGTGCTCAGTGGCAGTGCGGTTTCCCAGCTCTGTCACTGTGGACGGTTGCCTCAAAACCACCTCGCCTCCCTATTTGTAAGCTGGAGATACTGGTGCTCCCCAGAGGCGGTTGAGGTGTCCAGATGACATGGTCACTCACTGAACAGCAGCAGAACTTAGTGGCTCAGATCACGCTATGGCTTGAATGTATATGTTCGCCCAAATTCACCCGTTGAAACTTAATCATCAACTTGATGACATTAAGAAGCAAAGCCTTTAGTGGGTGTCTGAGGTGTAAGAATGGAACCTGTATAAATGGATTAGTGACCTTATAAAACAGCTGGAGGGAACCAGCGTTTGGCCCCTTTTGCCCTCTGCCCTTGAGCTGAGGACACAGAGTTCAAAGTGCCAACTTGCAAGCAGTGAGTGCCAACCTGCTGGCACCTTGATCTGGGACTTCCCTCCCTTTAGAACTGTGAGAGATAAATTTCTATTACTTATAAATCATCCAGTCTCAGGTAGTTTGGTACAGTGACACAGTGGACCATGAGTGTCAGGAACCAATCCCAGCTCTGCCACTGCCCAACAGTGTACCCGTGAACCTGTTCCGTATCTTCTCTCAGCCTTAATTTCCTCCACTAAAGACTGGGCATCAGTGCAGCATGGACCCTGCAGGACCACTGGGAGAATGGAAGGACATGATGCTCAGGACTCAGTGTACAGCAAGGGCTTGCTGTTGACACCACGAGGTGTCAAACCCGGTGGGTGATATTTGCCATTCAAAAAGGGAAAATAAACTCCTAACATCTGTTTCCTCAAGTTGCTATATGAGGCGCTGGGTCTTTTGGTAAAAACCAGAGAAAAATGCCTATGAGTCAGCAGGGCAGCCACTGAGTTCTTCCCCTGCCCCTAGGCCAGCCTCCATGTACGTCCTGGATGCATCCCACCTCCTCATGGCCCCCTCCCCCGAGAAGGCCTCCTGGGTCTCTTAGCCCCCTCAGTCAGACTCCTGGCTTTCCCAGCCCCGGGCTCCAATGTCTCTCCATCTGACTGCTGCACCTCCTGGTCCTCCAGGGGTTGCCTTCCAAGGGTTTGGCTCCTTTTGTCTCCACCCCCGCCCCTGCCCCCTGTCACTCTGGGAAATGCTGGTGCCTGCTGAGGATCCAATGACTGTTCAAATTCATCTCCAAGGAGAGTTATTACATAAGGAGAAACTGTGGTTAGACCAAAGATAGGACTTCCTCTCTGAGTTAGGAGGCAGCCTAAGGCAGAAAGGAGTGGAAATGAAGGATGAAATCCTTTATCCTTCCATTGAGAACTGAAGCCCCAGGCCTGTGGGCTGGGCCGCTGCAGACTCACATGTGCCACTCTGGCTAATGAAGCTCTTTGGTTGCATGGGTTCTGACTAATGGAAAAAGGGCTACTCGTGACTTGGCTCAGCCCTCAGGGGACAGTGCCATAGATTCCAGCCATGTCCTGGAGCCCACAAGCCCAGCTTGACCCCAGCTCAGCTTTGTGGGGGAAGGTGAGGCCCCACCCCACCTGCAGACTGTGGGGCAGCTACTCACCACCCTGCAGTGCCAGCAGAAGCAGAAGGGCTGTCCAGCCACGGGGCGTGGGCATGCTGACTCCGGGAGCTGCCAGGGGAGTGGCTGGAGCGAGGCCCAAGCTTGGAGGCTCCTGCTTGTCCCCGTCCTTTCCTTGGCAGATTGACCTCCAATTCTTAGATCTGTCTCAAGGAAAAAAAAAAGTCTGAGGGTCCTGTGGATGACCCCAAGGGTTCCTGCCCATGAGGCATGGGTAGTTCACCTGTGAGTCCTACCCAGCTCTGCCCGTCTTCCTCCCAGCCTCTTCACACAGTCACAGACGAGGTGGCTTGGAAGAGAGGGGAGCTTGCTGTTCTTCTGCCTTTGCTAGGCCTACCAATGTAGCAGCATGTGTGAATTTATCTATCTAAGAAGGGAGAGAGGGAGGGAAGAGGGAAGAAGAGGCTTGAACAGCAGCCTCTGTAGAGCAGCTGTCTGAGTCCTCCTTCCCTGAAATACCTGCACTGACAATCGAGTAACTTGGAATCCTCCTGAAGAACACATCCCAAGTTAGCCCACAAAGGAGATCCTGGAGGACTTCAGACAAGATTAGCCCAAGAATGAGGCTTCTTACTCCATCACAAAGCCCAGGTTAGCCCACTGGGCACACTAGGAGATCCAGGCTTTCCAAACCCAGGCAGCCTGGGCTCCCTGCTTCTTTCTGGCCGAGATGGAAGAGGCTCTTTGGGGAGCGGAGTGAGTTTATCCAGGAAGAGTGTCCTTTGATCCTTGAGTAGAGATGGCCCACCAGGCCAGCAATGGCAGGCTCCTTCTGGCACCTTGTCTATTGCACCCACCATCTCTGTGTCTGTCTGGGGAGGTGGCAGTCAGAGGCCAGTAGATCCACCTGCCCAGGCTCCGGAGTTCCACCCCGACAGGCCCCTACAGGACACCTGTGCAGGACCATCACATGTGTGGCTTTTTCCAGATGCCACTGGGGTTCCCCCAGATCCTACTCTGGCCTCATCAATAGTTTCCCCTGACCTTCCTAACAAAGTCACCAAGAAAGCAGTAACAAAAGGTACAGGCTGTAGGGGACAGAGGTTCAGATCACCAGCCGTGTAGCTCCGGGCCAGCACCTTGCCCTCTTTGAGCCTCATCCAGTGGAGATAGGAAAGCCTACTTCTAAGGTTCTTATGAGAATTCAAGGAAGGGATTTTCAGAAAACCCTGGGCATGGCCCCTGACACATAGACACTCAATAAATAGCTGTGATTAACATAGAATTTAGAACATCAGAAATGGAGGGGTCCCAGAACAATCCAAAAGGCTCAAAATTCTGGCCTCATTTGTACATTGTGTGCCCTATTATTCCTCTATTATATTTCTATAAATGAAAACTTGAAAACTTAACTCAAACCTCATCCTAAGCAATAACATTCATGGTTACACATTTTTTCTAACACATTTTAACACGAATAACACCACTGTTAAAATAGTGTTGGGGTGGACAGATACCCTTTAAGTTCCCATGGCCCCAAGACTTGCAGGAGCCCTGCTATTATGCTTTGAAGGTGTGATCTTCAAAGAGGGGGGAGTCTGTGTTTGTACCTCACTGTTGTGTGGCACATGCGGTCAGACAATTAGGTTCGCAAACTTGTCCTAGGAAAGTGCTACATAACTTGGCTCTGAATATCACTGCGGTCACCTTTGAGGTACTTCCCTTGGGAAGCTCTGCATCAATGCCAATGCCTAGTCCAACCTTCAAAGCAATTTTGGAACTCTTTCTGGAATGACCATCAGAGCTGTCCACACTCTAGCAAAGAAGTGCTTTTGGGGGTACCTGCTGGAAGCTTATAGCCGTCTTTGTTGTGTACTAGAGTGAGCCTGCCTGAAACCTATGTCAATATTGAGAAATACAGATCCAGAGTCCCCATGGCATCATGTGAGGACCTGGATCCAGCCATATCTGATGTCAATCCCTCCCGGACTTTTATTTCTAGTAGTCAAAGAGCACCTATGTTCTCAGCCATGTTGAATTATATTTCTCTTGGTTGCTACGAAGGAGTAGAGAGAAGGGCCCAGAAATTGAAGCCTGAGGATCTTGGAGCAAACAGCAGCTCTTTTCTGGTGCTTCCACTGTCTGGCATCAGTTACCATCTTGAAAATGGGAACAATACTGACCACCACACTGGCAGTGTGTGTTAAAGCAGGTGTAACAGTGCTTCGTGAGCTGTGAAGTGCTATGCTGGGGATGGCTTCATAATATTACTAGCCTTCTGCCCTGAATTACTCAGCACCTCCCCGCCATCCCAGGCCCCATCATGGGTCTCTGCCTCTGCACAAATTGAGTCTTCTCCTTGAATACCTTCCCAGCTCCCATCCTCTAAGACCAAGTTCTCATGGCCCACCTGCTCCATCCCTGGAATGGAACATTGGAATGTTCCCCTAGTGCTATTATCTATTTGCTATTTATCTTTACCTTGGTTCTCTTTTTCTAGTCCAATAAGCATGTGCCAGAGAAAAATACTATCCCACTTAATAACATAACTAGTATAAAATAGAGAGGCAGCAGGGGCCATGTTAGTTAAGTTGCAGACTGTGGAGGGGCCTCCCGCAGTTCACATCCCAGCACTGCCCCGACAGGCTGGGTAACCTCAGGCAGTTTCTTTGACCTTTTTGGGTCTCAGAGTCCTCATCTGTAAACCAAGGATAATAATAACAGTACCTACTGCATAAGTCCTTGGGAGAATTAAATTAGTCAATTTTTGTAAAGCATTTAGAACACTGTCTACAGATAGTAGATGTTACATAAGTGTTTCTTAAACAAAACAAATTACCATAAAACTAAATACAATGAAATGTAAAAAAAATTAAATACCAGGAAACAAAAGACTGTCATTGAATTTTAGTGAGCGGCTACTACCTACCTAAGACTTCTAGGAGCTAGAGATCTGGTTTGTCATTGTTTAAAGGGGGAGATTAAAGAATATCAGAGATGTGCTTAAGACATGCTAGCACCTGACTGAGAATTTCAACACCTTCGTTGTCAGGGCACATGGGATAGGTCACTGGTAGAAGATAGAAAAGGGTCTAATTCTCTCACAAGGGAATCCAGGGCCTTTTAACACTGCCTAAAGTAAATTTCTCACTTACAGGGAACATCAACCTTTAATGATAATGACTTCTCTGTCTCTCCCTTCTCATGCTTCCATAGCACCAAGTGGGGGACAGTCCCTTGGTCCCAACTGCCCTTTCTTGCCTGGAATCCATCCCTTTATGAGTCTTTCTACCCAAATGCAGATCAGACTGCCAGGTGTGTTTCCTGAAGGAAGGATAGAGGATGTCCCCAGAGACTTCCTGCCATGGGAGCCCCTGCAGCAAATCCCTCTATGGCACCTCCTCCCGCAGCACCTCCCTCTGCAGCACCTCCCCCTGTGACACCTCCTTCTGCGGTCTCCTACAAAAGAGCAAAGAGCACTGACTGGGAGTCTTCCAGATCCCAACTGTGTGTCCTCAGGCAAGTTACCTAACCCCTCTGATTCCCTGTTTTCTCATCTATAAAATGAGGGTTATGAATCTTTGCTGTGGGTCTGTTATGAGTATATGAAGCCCCAGAAAAGACTTTATCCACTGGCTCCAGTGCTGAGAACTGATTTCTGAAATTTTGGTAACTCAGACTAAAAGTTGGCCAAGGAGGCCTCGGGGAAGTGAAGAAGTTTGGAAGTAGGAAATTAGAGTAAAGCAAGTGCTATGGAGAGTACAAAGTGCTTAATTTCACAGTCAGCAGGGAAATGCAAGTGAAAACCACAGTGACACACCATTCTAATTTTGTTCAATTGACGAAAATTAAATGTCTGACAATATTACATGTTGGTGAGGATATGGTATAATAGGAGCTCTCATTCACAGCCAGTGGAAATGTAAATTATTGCTACTGGAGAAGAGTTTGGCATGATCTAATAAACGTGAACAAGCACCTTCCCTAAGATGCAGTAGCTTTGCTTCTACCTACTAAAGAAGCTCTTCATATATGTATAAGAAATATGTACAGAAATGTTTATAACAGCATTAATTTTAATAGTGCCAAATTGGAAACACCCTAAATATCTGTTATCAGGAGAATGAAAAACTAAATTGGAATATAATCACTCAGTGAAAATTAATCATCTGCACCTATAAAAAATAAAGCAAATGACTCTTACAGACAAAATGTAGAGTGAAAAAAAGAGAAGGACAGAAGCATATTAACACCATCTATGTCATGTTTACAACCACATACAAAAATTCTATACATTTTGTAGCTGAGTATACACATGTATATTCTCTAAGAATACAGAGAAATATATGGGGATGACAAACATCCAATTTTGAACAGTGTAGAAAAGGAGGAGGGGTATCAATGGTTGGTAAAGCTACAAAGGGCATCGATTATATTGTTCTTTATACCTTTTTATGTTTCCGAACTATTTCATAACATTTTAAATGGAAGCAAATATGAGCTTTGTAAAGTAAAATCTTTACAAAGATTTGCAAAAATATGAGGACTTCCACTTCTGGCTATGATGAGGCGGCTGGTATTAGACTAATTCTCCCACTGAGAACAATTACTAATGCTAATCAGGAAAAAAAAAAAAACCTTCATGAGACAGCAACAAAGTTACACCTGAGAGAAGAAAAATACATTGAAATTCTGCATGCAATTTTATCTCAAATCTTTATCTAAGTCATGGAAAATAAGTAGCATGCCAAGAAACCTAGGAGAAAGCACCTGCCAGTAGCCACAAAACCTAAGATGGTATTTTGGAAGTTTTACAATGCTGAGGGAAGAATTAGAGTTCAAGGCCTACCAAGAAAGATGGTCCCTGATAAATCCCCAGTTATTTAGGAAAAGCTATTCCTTTGGAATAAGGAAAAGTAGAAATAGTTCAGCCTTGACTCCATCAGAGTGATCTGTCCATAAACTAAATGTCTGCTAGGAGAAAATTTAAATCTATCTGGGGAAAGTTAGCTTCATGCAACCTCTCATATTTTACAATGTCCACCATACAATTAAAATTATAAGGCAGACTAGGAAATAGTCAATAGAAATAGACAG